ACACACTGCCCTGGAGGAGGAGCTCAGGCTGCTGTTCCACTGGAGCCAACTGGGCTGCACACACACTGCCCTGGTGCAGGAGCTCATGCTGCTGTTCCACTGGAGCCAACTGAGCTGCACACACACTACCCTGGAGGAGGAGCTCGGGATCTGTTTCTCATAGGTGCAGGTTTTCTGAGCGGACCTGGAGTGGACCTGGAGTGTCCCCAGTTGCTGGGACACTCCAACTCCAGGACCACTCACAGAAAACCTGAGCTTCTCCATGGTGATGTGTGTGCAGCTCAGTTGGCTCCAGTGGAACAGCTGCCTGAGCCTAGTCTCCAGGGTAGGAGAGTCCAGAGGGGGACTTTGGGAAGTGATTGGTCCTTAGGCTCCAACCTCACCAGTGGACTGACCCATCGATGGCTGTGGGGACCCCAGAGCTGTGGAGACTGTGGGACGTAGCTGTCCGAAGGAGTGCAAACCAGGGTTCACCTTGTCCCAGCCCCTCCCTCCCTCCCTCCTCCTCTCTCCCTTGCTCCCTGCTTCCCCACCACCATGTGCCCAGCAGCCTCCTCTGCCCCACCCATCCCTCAAGTATGCCTTCTCTCAGGCCCAGAGCAAAGAGTAGATGGCCAGGGACAGCATCCCTTCAAACCATGAACCCAAACAAACTTTTCCTCCTCTAGGTGATTTGCCAGGTTTTGGTCACAGCGATGAAGCTGATTGACATATAGGGCGCGGCCACTGAGCCCGAGACATCCAGCGGGAAGGAGCCACGGCCACTTCATCCTTCCGCCACCCCCACTCAGAAATCCAGGGAGCAGCTGTGCCCCTTCCTGCCTCCTCTCAGACCTTCCTCTGCACAAACCCATCTCCCCTCCCCCATCTGATCAGGGGATTCAAATGTTTTGGCTTTCATGAAACAAACCTCAGGAAAACTGGTCTGCTGGCTCTGTCCCCTGGCCACCCAGCACCAACCCTGAGACCTGAGGCCCAAGTCTACAGCCTCAGCTCCACGTCACCCAGCCCCTGTCCAGAGCAGGCCACAGCCGGCCATCCCAGGGGTGCGAGCAGGAGAAGGCTGCAGAAGTTCTCTCCATCCCCGCCAGCACCCAGCCTCTTGGGCACCACTGACTGGGAACACCTGAGTCTGCAGCGCGCCGGAGCTGCACCACCTAACGGGGCTCCTCTTTTAAAGCCTTCACTGTGAAACCCTGATGCTCCACTATTGGTGACTGCTCCCTTGGACAGTGAAGCCCATCTCCACTTCTCTCCTGCAGACCCCAGATGCTGCCCCTGACCCAGTTCCCCATCTCTCTCCAGGTCACTCACAGGAAACACTCAGTTCACTACACAGGATCCCAGTCCCCAGGAGCCACCCCTGCTCCAGAACACAGGGTGGTCACTCTGGAGACTCTGCCCTCCTTAGGTCTTAGTGCAGGCCTCCTGGTCCACCCTCTCCCTAAATAGCTGTCCTGTCCTGGGCTCCCTCAGTGTGGACACCCAAAATGGGTGGCAGGGCTAACACTCTCAGCAGGACGCTAGACACTGGGGGGGAAAGCCAGCAGGGTGGCATCAGGCAGCAGTGAGGGAGACCAGAGCCGTTTTCCAGACACCTCTCTATCAGCTTTCCATTGATGGCTTCAGACCAGATGTGTCCTGCTTCAGCTGACTTCCCCACGGTTTGACGGACATTCTCAACACAGCACATGGGGCCACCGTCTCCTTCAAGGCTGCTGGCGGAACCGTTCAGCTCCCAGAGCCATGTGCAGAGGAAAACTGCTTCCACAACAGCTTTCCTCGTGAAGGGCACACAGGATCCATCTTTCTACCAAATACCTGTGCAGCCGAAAGGAGTAGAACCTGCTCAGATGCAGAGGTGTGTCCTGCCCCCCCAGGGGACTGTGGTACAGGAAGGGCTCATGGGAGCGGATCTCCCAGCTGCTCCCCCAGGACACAGCCTTCAGGCACAGTCCTGGGAGTGCAGAGACAGTATCCCCCTGGACCTGGACCTCCCAGCTGCACACACAGAAATGAACTCCCGCACCCAGCCTTAGGAAGGTCTTGTTATGCACCTTGAAATGGACTAAAACAGGGCCCTGTGGGGTCCCTGTGTCAGACTTCCATCAGTGGGCACCTGACAACATACCAGAAGTCAGAATCTCAGCTTTTCAAACAGTGCTGCACTCGCTCCATCCTCGGAGAACAGCAAGGCAATGTACAAACCATTTTAGAAATTAGCTGAGGTTTTATGCAAAGATTAGCTCAATACAAAAATCAAAACAGATTCTCAATAAATTTCAACTAATTATACCCTGATCATGACTGACCTTTATTGAAGAATGAACATTCTTATGATTCAAAATCAAATATTTTAAGAGTGATATACCTAATAGTGATTGACATGGAAGTGTTTTCATTTAAAATAGCTAAAAGGGCAGCCATGGTGGTACATACCTGTAATCCCAGCGACTTGGGAAACTGAGGCAAGAGAATTACAAGTTCAAAGCCAGCCTCAGCAACTTAGCTAGACCCTAAGCAACTTAGCAAGACCCTGCCTCAAAATATAAAACAAAAAAATAAAAAGTGTTGGAGATATGGCTCAGTGGTTAAGTGCCCCTGAGTTCAACAAATTGGTACCCCCACCCCCAAAATATTTTTATTTATAAAATAAAACAGCAGGGTTGGGGGATATAGCTCAGTTGGTAGAGTGCTTGCCTTGCATGCACAAGGCCCTGGGTTCAATCCCCAGCACTATAAATAAATAAACAAACAAATAAATAAATAGCTAAGAGGCATACAGACATCTATAAAATATTCATCTCACCTAGGAAAAAAAAGGGTAAAAGTAAGCTTCCAGACTCACTGCCAGAATTAAGATTTCAGCACAGACAGGTTTAATAACAAGTAGTTGACTAACAGATTATAATTCTAAAGTTGCACAATAAAAATTTTCCTAATTTTTTTCTTTACAAAAAATAATTAACTGATGAATTAACAATAGAAATTAATAATAACTTCAGAAAAAAAGGCACATCGAGGCAAAACAGTGGAGGCACCCGTGAGCCAGTGCCTCAGTCCTACTGTGCACAAGTGCAAGACAGTCATGCCAGGAACTTCCGCAACAGTAGGAGCCTGTGCCAACAGGCAGACGGGAGGACACTGCTCCTTGCTGACGGCACTCGGGCTGACACCAGCACACACCTCCTCCAAGTCGTCCCAGAGTTGCTCAACGCCCAGCGTGGTCAGAGACTGGACCGCCTCTCCGATCTGGGCACACATTTTGTAATGGCAGCTCTCCACAGCACAGGGGCCAGCAGAAGGCTGAGTGTGGTCACACTTAGTATAAGGAGGTACACCTGCAACACAGGTGAGCACAGCACATGTCACAGTGAGCTTTAGGGAGATCCCCACATGGGTGCAAGGCTGGGCAGAGTCACACCCAGCACGACAGGGACCTTACAAACCAAGCGCTCTCTCTCTTTTCAGGGCAGCTCAAGTAGAGCCACGGGTGAGGACATTGGACATGGGAAGAAAAACTCAAGGCATTGAGACTCTGCTTACGTGAGGGTGAGCCCCACGGGCCACCTGAGTCACACCAACTTGCCCAATGTCCCTGGGGCAGTTCCGTTTTTCTAGTACACTCTGAAGGAAGACTCCTGTGCTCCTCACACTCAGGGGATATCAGACCCCTGATTCTGACCTCATGGCAGCCTTCAGTGGGTCGAGTACAAGGCTTAGGCCTCTTGTGTGCTATTCCTGTGCATCCAGCAGCTCAGCCTCAAGGGCAGGATCCTGCTGCCCATTCCCAGACAGATCAGCAACGGTCAGAGGCAGCAGTTCAGGAAGTGCGACCTGGCAATTCACCTGAGACGCCACACGTGCTGGGGAGGAGTGACCCCGGAGATCCCCCAGCACAGACAGGAGTGTCTGAAAGAGACTGGCCCCCCCTGCACCAGGGACCTATGGGCTGATGCCTGAGGGACAGTAACCACTCACCTCCCGGGAGATGATGCCTGCTCTCCGCGCCCGGCTCCCCAGGACAAAGGAGAACTCGCTGACCTGGGCCAGCCCTGCAGAGATGATCCACTTCATGTACTGGCTGCTCTTCGGCAGGATGAGAGACAAGACCAGTGCTGCCAACACAAACTGCAAGAGCACAGCTCGTGTTACTAAGTCCAGTAAGATCTCAAACTCAGCTGGCATGGTGGCATGTCTATGACCCAGAGACTGGGGAGGCTAAGGCAGGAGGACTGCAGTCTCAAAGCCAGCCTCAGCAATGGTGAGGCCCTAAGCAACTTAGTGAGGCCCTGTCTCTAAAACCCAAAAAGGGCTGGGGATGGGGTTCAGTGGGTAAGTGCCTCTGGGTTCCATCCCCAGTAACAAAAAATAAAAAATTAAAACACAGAACCTAGATGGGAAGCATCAAAGTCTGCCACAGCCTCGAGTGGCCAAGCAGGGTGTACCAGAGGCTCTGTGGTCCCCAGACACAGCAACTACACAAACTGCCACAAGGCTAGGCAGCCCATGAAGGTGAAAGAGGAGGCTCAGGTTTACTAGCAGAAAATACACCTTTCCCCAAACCAAATCAACAGCATTTAAGGTTGAGTAGCGTCTAAGATGGAGATGCTCTGATTAAGAGAGAGGGGCACCTCTCTCAGTGAGCAGCCCAGCAGCCCAGTGAGGCTGCTCTGCCACCATCTGATTCTGCACCCAACTTTCACAGGATGTTATGAAATATTAACAAGTGACCTAGAGAACAGATGCGGGAAGCCTGGTCAACTCCTGGCATTCACTTCTGAGTGCGTCTGCCTCTGTCAGAAGGGGCCTGGGGTCCTGCAGACCCATCCCCAGCGAGACCACGTCAGCAGAGCCTCACAGGAACTCGGATGGGTGCTCCCCGTCTCACCCTCCAGCAACTCCCCCGTGTGAACCCCTCCATTTGGAGGCAGGCTACAGGTCACCCTGGGCCTGTCCCAGCTGGCCTCCCAGGGAGTGAAGTACACAGGCATGGACTCCCACAGGCGTGAAGTACAGCAAGAAGTGTCAGTACCTTCATGACCACCACCGACAGGGTGAGGAACACCAGCACCGTGAGCTCGTACACTACGAAGGTGGGGAACACATGCAGCCCTGCGGGAGACAGCACAGGTGAGCACAGGTGAGCCCAGGGATGCCTGGGCCCAGCCAGCCCTGGACCCTCCCCTTGCTCCAGCAGGAGAGAGCTACAACCTGAGTCCCCTAACCACACTGGACCGAGCCCTCTCCCTCTCCCAGAGAGAGGGAATAGGGTGACCACTGCCACTTCCTGCCACACGGAGGGTGGGGTCCCTGCACGGGCCTTCGCAGACCTGGGTGTGTGGCCCTGCCTCTGCAAGTGGGCAGCCGGACCCAGGCGGGCCACAGTCCTGTGTCTACGGCCAGCCCAAGTCGGGCTGCTCCTGCTCATCCCCTGAGGCCACAGGGAAGTCTTCCTGACACCTCCCTGCTCCCACTCCTGCGGAGGCTGCTGCCGTGCACTCCTGGGGACGGCCAGAGGACAGGCAGCTGCAGGGAGTGAACTCCAGCTCCACCTGCGGGCAGCCTCACCGTCCCCCAAGGGGAGCACTGAACCCAAGACCTCGGGAGGCAAGACCCACAACCCATCTGCGTCTCCTTGGAAGTGCATCATGAAGGTCTCCTCCCTCCTGAAACCCAGAGATGCCTCCCCCACCACTGGGCTGCACTCTGCTGACTGCACACCCAGGCCCTTCTCGAGGGTGCCCTTCCCAGGGCCTGTCCTCAGCCTGTCCCCGGGGCCTGTGTGCACCAGCTGCTCCTGCTGTCGGACCCGGATGGGTGCCGTGCTCTGCTTTCCCCCAGTGCCCCAGCTCTTCCCAGAGCCTCTCCACCCCCAGGATGCCTGGGCTCCTGCCTCTGGCTTGGTGAACAACCTGGCTCCTGCCTGGCTGCCGCAGGCTTCCCTGCAAGCCCCTGTCCGTGCAGGCCCAGCTGTTGTGGACGCTGTCCAGGAGGAAATACCTGCTGGTTGGCACCCTGCCCTGCATTCGGCTCACGACATCAGCATGGCAGCACTGGGGATCGCGAGAAATTGGAACCCTGCCACTGGGTGTCACATCACTCTCGACTGGCAGGAGGGCAAGCCAGCCAGGCCACAACTTCCCATCCAGTGTCACCGACTCTCATGACAAACACCAAACACCATGTGTGCCACAGGGGACCCGTGACTCCGCCCAGCCCTGGCCCTCCACTTCCTAACTACACCGCTCAGCCTCTCAGGCCCAGCGTCTTCCAGGTGGGCTTGTGGGGTGGGTGAATACCACCCTCAGGGTCACTGTGCCAGCACCCAGGCCTCAGACATCCAGGTGGGCCAGGGCCTTGGTGCTCAAGCCAGGTCCCCCCAGGAAGTGACAAGCAACCACGAGACACCTCTCCATCCCACCAAAACCCGCAGGGCCTGCTCCGGAACCCTCTTATGCCCAGGGAGGTGGGTCAGGCAGGGGATGAAGTTATTGCTGAAAATCTCCTAAGATTGAGCACCAAATGGTTGGCAGGAAGTGGCCGTGGCCGTGGAGCAGCAGGCCGGCAGCCCGTTCCACAGAGTTCGGGTGGCCAGTGCTTCCTGCCTCGTAGGCCATGCGGCCTGCACTGCCCCAGGCCCCAGACTGAACGGAGTCTCACCCTGCAGCTGGGGCCCTACCAGGGGTGTCTGGAGGTGAGGCCTGAGGACATAACCAGGTGACCGAGGGGGGTCACTCACTAGGCTGTGGCCTTGGAAGAGGAAGAGAGGCAGGGGAGCCTCATAGTAAACTTTCTGTCAAATAAAGCTTAGTTAACAGTTAAAAAAAAAAGAGAGAGGCTTAGATAAAGAAAGAGACCTCTTGGCTGGAGCAGCCCATCCAGGGGCTCTGTCGGGACAGCCCAAGCTGACCACCACAAGCACGGACGCCCCCTGAGTCCCAGTAAAGCTTCCCTCACAATGGGGGGAGGCCAGGCAGGGCGCGGCTCGGCCTGTCCATGGCCGGCCACCAGGCTCACCCTGTCCCTGGACGGACCCAGGCTCCAGAGCAGGAGCTCCACACCCACGGGCCCTCTTCCCAGTGCCTTCTGCAGCCTGGTCCATCTCCTCAGACCCTGCCCAGTGGAGGGTGAATGGCAGAGTCCACTCCACATGCGAGTGGGTGTCACAGGTGGGGCCTGAGTGCAGAAGCACAGGTGGAGGGCCAAGGGAAAAGGACGATAGACCAACCGTCGGGCTCTCCATGGCCTCCCTGCTCGGGGCCCATCTCCCGGGAACCGAACAGCACCAGCTCACCAACCCCACTGGCCAAAGACCTCCCTCCCCTCTGGTGAAAGGTTGGGCTCCTGTGCTTCTCCCTGGGACGGAAGTGGCTGTGCCTGGTCCCTCACGTATCCACGTAAAGCTCCAGGTCAGTTCCCACATCTCCCTGGGGCAGCTGGATCTACGGACCCACACAGACTGCGCAAGTGTCTTGGACAATGATCACCACAGGGAGAGAGGCCAGGGACATGGCAGGGCTTCAGCAGCCCAGGCAGCCCTGTCAGTTGAGGCCACTTCTCCAAACCAGCCACTGGAGGTCCCAGAGCAACCCCCTGGACATGATTGGTTTAGTCTTAACAACTCACCTAGGGGATGGTTCCTGCGATTTTCAGGGTGCTGGGGTGGTGAGCACAAAGCTCACCCCTGCAGGCTGCGTGGGGACAGCAGGAGATGGCCTCCCAGACCTGTAACCACCACGGTACCTGCAGACAAGCAGATGTGCATGGGCACATCTTTCTGCCTGTCTCCCCCTTTCTTTTTGGTCTTAGTTGTAGATGGACACAATATGTTCATTGTACTTATTTTTATGTGGTGCTGAGGATGGAGCCCAGGGCCTTACGCATGCTAGACAAGCGCTCCACCTGAGCCCCAGCCAGCCTGTCGCCTCCCGCTTTCTACGTCCGATTTCCTTCAGGTTCTGGAGAGACTGCTCACACACCAACACTCGTGGAAGTATCCGCAAGTTCTTAGCAACAGTCACGACCAACAGCAGGTAGGTTACCTATCGAAGCGAAGAAAACGATGGCCAGGAAGTCACGGATGGGCTCCAGGTAGGCCATGACCTCTTCAGTGACCATGTGGCCTTGGGAAGAGACCAGAGCTCCGGCCAGGAAGCAGCCCAGCTCCATGGACACGTCCAGCAGCTCCGTGACCTAGGTGACAGAGAAGACAACGTCTGACGGGAACACAGCACATGCAGACACACCACCAGGTGCAAGGTGAGGATGGCACTGCACTCAGACACGGGCTTCCCGGAGCCTAACTAACACGGGTAGGGAAACTTCACGCAGGAGCCGTGGGACTTCTGGACAAAAGCATTTTCAACATTTACTTTTAGCATTTGTGATTGCATTTCCTTTACCTGAAACAATGAACAGCTGGACTGTGACACTAGCAGATGGATTCCTGTCACAAACCTCCAACCACAGGAGAAGACAGACACCACTAACAAGGGCCCTGAAGAGGAGTGCCCACAGAGCTCGGAAGGACGCAGCAGCAGGTCGCCAGAGCAGGGTGCACCTGGCTGCAAGACAGGAAGCTGGGACAGCCTTGGCGAGAGGCGCGGCGGGACTCCCGCACGGGAGCAGGCCCAGCAGATGCCCAAGCTCCAGGCACACACCTCCCCGCAGCCCGACGGCCTGGCATAGCACCAATCAGACGTGTCAGGGCTAGACTCCACACTGCCCCGTGTGATGACCACACAGAATCCTCCAGGCCCACAGCCACCAGACATGAGCACAGGAGACAGATCCAGGCATGGTAGGAGCAGAAACGTGCTCACCACACACGCACGCACAGCACACACAGCCACGAGGCACACACACACAGCACACGAGCACTCCCACACACACACAGGCTCACACTCTCAAACACATGCCCACCACACAGCCAGATGCCCACAGCCACAATCCAGATGACGGTCACGGGCCGACACGCCTCATCCAGGGCAGGCGCATGGAGTCCCTGAGCAGCGCACACCCAGCACTGAGCTCTCAGAGGACCGTGGAGCTGGACGACACAGAGCCTCTCATGACCTGCTAAAGAAAACACTCGACAACTCACGCTGGAGTCCAGCTCATCTACCAGCAAACCCACCAACACGAGTGTGCACAGGTAGGGCACGGCTGCAGAGTGGCCAGGGCAGGCGTGAGGCACAGACACCTCCACACCACAGACGAGACAGGCTCACAGAGCACAGGCAGCCACACTGGGCCACATGCACGTCCCCACAGATGTGGAGGAAAATCACAACTGCAGAGAGAAACAACCCAAAGACTTCAACAGGTGCCCACTCAGCTCTGCCATGCCTGAGCAGGTGCCTAGACAGCTCCCTGGCTCCCAGCTCCCGGGCACTCCAGCAGGTGCCCAGACATGCCAGCACCCCAGCAACTGTCTAAACGGCTCCCTGGTGCGCCAGCGGGTGCCCAAATGGCTCTCCAGCACCCCAGTGAGCGTCTGCATGGCTCCCTAATGCCCCAGCACGTGCCCGCACAGCTCCCCAGTGCCCCAGCAGGTGCCCAATGGCTCTCCAGTGCCCCAGCAGGTGCCCGATGGCTCTCCAGTGCCCCAGCACATGCCCACACGGCTCCCTGGCACCCCAGCAGGTGCCTACTCGGCTCATTGGTGCCCAGTGGGTGTGCAACATCAGCAGTCCTGAGGACAACGGAGATGCAGGTGTCAGGAGAGGACAAAACCAGAGAAACAATGCCACGTGGGTAGGGATGCGGGATGGCCAGCTCCACTGGGGGACGCTGGTAGCAGTCACATCTGCAGTGATGGTGTCAGTTGTGCTCTGGGACCGACCAGCAACTCCACCTCCAACCTGTGCTCATCCAGAAGAGAACCCTGCTGAACAGCACGCAGCTGGACTCACGCAGCCCCAGTGGCACAATCCCCGCCCCGCAGCAGAGTGGCCGTGCACTCACCTAGTGCAGCCCGCGGGAAGCTCCCCCAGGACCCCTGGGCTGCACCTCAACACTGGCGGCAGGAGCCCAGCAGGTGCTGTCCAGATAGGCAACAAAGGAAGAACGCCACCAAGGGCAAGGCAGGACGAGAACCCTGTGACCTGGGTGTGGGCACCGGGAGGCAGCATGGAGGAGCCCAGAGCAGACAGCCTGGCGACAGGCTGAGAGGACAGAGCCCTGGATGCACCAGGCAGTGGAAAGCAGCCAGTCACAGCCACCCGTGTGCTAGGCAGAGGCCCCGTGGCGTGTGCCACGAAGCCTCCAGCACAGAGCGGCACCGCGAGCAGCTGCCAGCACACACGCGCTCGGTCCCCTCCCGAATGACAGCACACAGCGCGCACAGCAAGTGAAGCCGGCTCCCACCTGTGACCCTGAAGCATGCTGTGCTCATGGGAGGCTCTGAGGACGAGGGCCGTGCCTCAGCAGCACCTGAGCCTGCAGCGCAGACCCCGGGCGCCCTCTGCCACTCCTGGGTGCCCTGACCCGCCCTCATGTCCAAACAGTCGCTGTCCGCCTGCTACTTACACACTCTGGGGCAGTCTGCAGCCCAGCTCTATACACATACCAGCAGCTGGTGGGCCAGACAGGGGCTCCTGGGAGCGGCCTGTCATTCACCCTGAAGGACATCAGGTCAGTTTTTGGCTACTCCAAGTGGAGCTGCTGTGGACACTCCTGCACCATTTCTAAGTGACTGGCCTTCTCTTCAGCAAGATGAACCCTGAGGCAGCAACTGGGTGACCTTGCCGGTGCGAGTGCTGCCTTGCTGTCCCGGGTAGACCCAGGAGCCCAAGGGAACCCTCCCACAACTCCCCTCAGAGTGAGGAGAAGCCTGGGCTGAAAGTGGCCTGCAGACCCTCCCCACTTGGGCCAGGAGATGAGACTGGCCTGCCTCATCATGCCACAAGGCTACTAGCTGCCCAGCTGCTCGGGCGCTGGCAGGGCTCAGGACAGCGGCCTGGCCAGACGTGCACAAGGCTTTTCGCAAGCTCAGAGGTGGCCAGCGCAGCATGCACTGACCACACCTGCCAGGAGTGAGCATGGAACAAGCAGGTTCAGGCCCAGCACCGTGAACCAGGTGCATTATAGACATTTTAATCGTCACTCAGATGAAACGGCCAAGACCCGACCACAGGCTTCCAGGGAGAGTCCGCGGGCCCCAAGGATGTGGCTGGGTGAGTTACCGTCAGCATTAGGAAGATGAAGGCAGACACGCCCAGGACGAGGACCTCCTTGTTCCCTTTGCTCTCCACGTGCAGCTTCCGGCAGAAGGGTCCTATGAGGTACGTCTTCAGGAGGAGACACAGCAGACAGACCGCAGCCAGGGAGAAGAGGGTCTGGCCAGCCAGGAGCAGCGTGCGCAGCACTCCCACGAGCACGCTGGAAGGGAAAGAGCACGTCACTGCACCCACGCCCAGGGGACGTCTGCATCTCTCCTCCTGTGGCACGTCACAGAATAAATGACCAAATCACACACACAACCAAGAACTAAAATGAACCTGCGACTTGTACGAATGTGCGTCAGATCCGAGTCAGACGTGGGCAGTCTGCAGTCAGCACTGGGACACTCGAGTCTCCCAGGTGTGAGGACGCCAGAGGGACCATGACCCTCCTCCCAGCAGTCAGCGCCCGGGCTCTCAGCAGGCGGCCCGTGACCCCCAGGAGAGCACGTGACCCCCAGGAGAGCACAGTGACCCCCAGGAGAGCACGGTGACCTCCAGCAGCACATCCCAGTGCCCAGTCATATCCTGAAGCTGACACCTAACACCTGGGTGAAGGACAGTGAGTCCTTACCCAGTGCTTCAGAGACTGTGGGGGCCTGTGGTCACTGACACTTAGCCCAGAGCTTCCACAGGAAGCCACCAAGGGACAGTGGCAGGGTTCAGACCTCACTGTTGCTAGTCAGGACAAACCTCCTCCAGGCCTGCTCAGAGAGGAGACCGTCCCATCACAAGAAAGGGCCTGTCCCTGCAGTCCAGCTTGCACCAGCACTGGACGCCAGGCTCAGACTGCTGCACAGTGACCTGGGAGAGCAGAAAAGAGCTGGACTCGAAGCAGGAAAGACAACAGAGACCACTCTGTGAGCCCAGGGAGCCCACTCTGCAGCTGCCCCTCCACGGCTGCCCCAAGGGCTGCTCCACTGCCCCAGCTGAAGCTGCTGGGTGCCCTGCAGTCCTGACCAATCTTCCCCACCACCAGCCTGGCTGGGACCTGCCCTGGGCAATGCTCTGCATGCTCCAAGACCCTGTCCCGACCCATTGCTCTGCACAAGAACCAGCTCCCCGCACAGGAAGCCACCTCTTCACCAGCCTGCCTCCCCTCGGCCTGCCAGCCACACAGGGCCCCCAGGCGCAGGCCTATGCGCCAGGCCCCTCGCTGGATGCCGCCCCAGCCCTCCTCTCCCGCTGGACAGCTGAGTTCTCAGGCCTCCGTCACCGGCTGGCTCGTGTAGGTCTAAGGAGGGTGCTGCTCTCACAACACTGCCACCCCACCTCAGTCCTCTGCAGGACACTTGCCTGGGGTGGATGACCCCTGGTCATCCATTCACCCTCCCTCCAGACACGGGCACCTCCCTCCCTGAGCAGCATCTCTCTCCTTTCGCCCCCGCCCCAGGAAGTGGGCATAGTCCCGTCCCACCATCTGTCTGACCGAGGAGAAAGGGGTCGCACTGGGAAGCAGCAGAGCCAGCTGCAGTGCCCGGGTGGAGCACCAGCCACAGCTCTGCCACGTCCATCCACGGGACTCCGCTCAGGCCGCCTCCTGATGGCCACGAGCCACCCGTGAGCAGGAGGCCCAGGGCAGAGCCAGCCTGCGTGGGCCCAGCCTCTCCCAGGACACTCTGCTCAGAGCTGTGAGGACCGTGAGCTGCACACCAAGGGGAACAGGAGCACCGCTCCTTCCCTTCCCCCGAGGCACAGTGCTCTGGGAAGTGCCTCCCTCTGCCGGGCCGGGCGAGTGCTCCCTCATGCAGGCGCACCCCAGTCCCACCCCAACACTGGGCGCTACTGCCAAATGGCATCCCCACCCTCTTTATTCTGTGATGCTGGGATGGACCTGGGGCACTCCACGGCTGTTCTACTCATGTTGAGACCGGGTCTCCCCAGGCCCGGACGGCCTCCCCAGGAGCTGCGAGCAGGGTGCCACCTCATGCTCTGGCTGCAGGCTGCAGGAAGGAAGTGCTGTCACAACTGCTGCCATCGAGCCCTCATACCTCGTCCCACTCTCCTGTTAGGCACAGGAGATCTTGATGCCTAGACACACAACCCCTTCTTCCATGAGCGTGTTCACGACCTTCCCCCGTTCTAGTTATGGGAAATTCTTTTTTTTTTTTAAGATCATCTTTTTTAATATTGATTTTTGAGTTTTAGGTGGACACAATATCTTCATCTTTAGGTGGTGCTGAGGATCAAACCCAGCACCTCACTGTGCAAGGTGAGCGCTCTACCACTGAGCCACAACCCAGCCCAGGGGAAGCTCTATTCTGAGTTCTGTTCTTTGTGAAATGTTTGGCCAGGGAGAGAGATGATCCTTTCCTTTAGGAAAGATCAAGATTAATTCTGAATAAAACTTCATAAGCAAAGTCTCTATCATTATAACTAATTTTATTTCTTTGATTTATTTTACTGTAAAATTTCCATGGTTATTAAAACTGGAAGAGAGATTTTCCTAAAGAAAAGTTTATATGGTAGACCAGAATATTACCCTAGGTTTTCCTCTTCTACTAGTGGAATCACAATGGATCAAACCAGAAGTCAGTCACAGACAACAGGAAATCAAACACTCTCAACATCCCATGAACCAAGGGGGAAACCCGAAGGAAATCTTAAAAATTCACTGATTGAATGAAAATAAGAATATGACCCATCAACACAAGTACGATGCAGCCCCACAGTGCTGAGAAGGAGTCCTAACTATCTGCAGAGCCAAACAACCCAAAGCCAACAGAAAGGAGTAACAGGTCAAGCAGGCTGTGGCTGAAGGCCTGCAGCAGGGAGGACTCCAAGCTGACCTGTGAAGGTGACCCAGGGGACCCGCACATTCCTCAGGGCTGCAGTGCCCCTCAGTGACAGCAGGGGACACCCTGCAGCAGCTGGGCAGACTGTCTGGAGAAGTCCTCCCAGTGGAGGCCGGGCGTGGGCAGACGAATGAACACTGGTTCTGTACAACGTTTTCCAGAAGACACAAGAGGGAGGGACATTTCCCACATCGTTTTATGAACCTCATATGACGCTCCACGCTGAGACCACAGAGGGTGCAGCACAGGAACTCCCCCGTCTCTGACTCAGATCCCCAAGGCCTCAGGACACCAACCAAGTGTTCACACAAAGAAAAAGCTCAGACACGTCATGACCAAGTGGGTGACTTCCAAGACGGTTCAACTCTTGAAAAGGAAGTCACACCACCACACCAGGGGGCCAAGGAGAGGCCTCTGACAGAGCCCCACGCCATTCACGACGCTCTTGGGAAACCCGTCGGCCTGGAGAAAGGGCTTCTACAGCCCACGCCAGCTCCACCCGGCGGCCAAACGGCTGGCTGCCCGGAGGCCGGGAACACGGAGGCCAGGTCCCAGGCCGCAGTCAGAGCACAGAGGCAGAGAGGCGGGGGGCAAGCCTGCGGCAGGTCCCACAACTCAAACTGGCTCCCCGCAGAGGGAGGCCCGCTGTGACCAGGCCCAACGAGGCACAGCTGCTCAGACACATGAATGGCAGCACACTGGTCAAGGCCAGGCAGTGTGTGTCCACCCTGGGCAATGCCCTTGCCTCAGTGGCTCCCCTCCCTCCAACTGGACTTTCTCTGCTGGTGCTCCTGCTGTGAATCCATGCACAGCACACCGTGCAGCCTCCTGGCCTAGCTCACCCCAGGTGGCCTCTCTCCAGGTGAGCCAGGAAACGCAGTCAGGTAGGGAGGGCTCCACTGGGGGTGATGGTGACAACCGAGGCCACACGTCACGTGTGCACATGCGTGTTGCTCACCGTGTGCCCCCACGACCCTGAGGTAGGGACCCCACACTGCCACCGTGAGCCAGGGACCCAGCGGAGGACAGTGAGGAAACACTGCTCACGTCCCACAGCCAAGGAGCGATGGAGTCACTGCAGCCTGCGCGGGCCAGTCTGAATGACAGCTCAAACGCTACAGTGGGAAAGGCGGTGGAAGCAATCGTAAAAACAAACGTTGGAGCCAGAAAAGCAAAGTGTGCACGGACATTTCCCTGGAGGACATTTACCTGGAGGACGGGGCTGCTCCCGCCTGTATGAGCGCCGGCATGACAGCCATGAACAGCCCCAGCTGCACGTCCTGCATCACCAGCATGCCCAGCAGAAGGGCGCTGTAGTCACCGTCACCTGCTGGAGAAAAAGGCACTCCAACACTGGCCGCGGCGGCACGCAGCCCCGTCGGCAGGCGGCCCCGTCGGCACACTTCCACAGCACTCCAAACTGGTTTGTCTGTTGGTGGATACCAAGGCTCGAACTCAGGGCCCTTTACCCCTGAGCCTATCCCCAGCCCTTTTGAGTTCTCATTTTGTGACAGGGGCTTGCTCAGTCGCTTGGGCCCGAGTTGTGGAGGCTGTCCTGAACCTTCGATCCGCCGGCCTCCGCCTCCTAAGCAGCTGGGATGACAGGTGTGCACCACCAGGGCCAGCTTTGGGCCAGCTCTGATCATCAAGAACAGGGGTTCCTGGAGGCCCCGCTCACCAGGCAGACCTGCACTCCAGCTACCCCGGGTGGCGGCTGGAGAGCACTGGCGCCCGGAGCTCCAGGCCAGCCTGGGTCCCAGAGCGAGGCACTGACTCCAAAAACGAGATTTTAATATTTACAACACTTCAGTACTTGATTTCCAAGAGATGTGGTGTCCTGTTTTTTTTTTCTTTTCTTCTCTTTCATTTTTCTTTCTTTATTGTCATTTTTTTGAGACAAGGTTTTGCTGTGTTGCCTAGGCTGGCCTCAAACTCCCGGGCTAGAGCAATCCTCCTGACTCAGCCTCCTGCAAGCAACAGCATACTATAAAAACTTTCTGTGTAATATTTCCTTTCAAACTCACTGGTCATTTACATAAATACAGACCACCATCACCACAAAAAGAACCTCGGCAAAGATGATGATGGCAGGTGACCCCATGTCTGTGTCCTGGACACACAGGACACCAGGGCCCTCCCCAGCCTGAGGGCCATGCAGACCTGTGTCTGTGTCCTGGACACACAGGATACCTGTGCCCTCCCCGGCCTGAGGGCCACGCAGACCTGTGTCTGTGCCCTGGACACACAGGACACCTGTGCCCTCCCCGGCCTGAGGGCCATGCAGACCTGTGTCTGTGTCCTGGACACACAGGACACCTGTGCCCTCCCCGGCCTGAGGGCCACGCAGACCTGTGTCTGTGTCCTGGACACACAGGACACCAGGGCCCTCCCCGGCCTGAGGGCCACGCAGACCTGTGTCTGTGCCCTGGACACACAGGACACCAGGGCCCTCCCC